CCAGGGTGGCTCAAGTGCACCCCCTTCCCCTGCCCTCATCGTACTTTCAGGACAGATGGTCCCCGCTCATCTCCTCCGTGAGCCCGCAAATGCCCTTGTGGACAGGAGGGCTTGGGGACTGCAGGGACTGCACACTGCCTCCTGGGTCCCCCTGCCATATCCCCACCCCACGGTCCCCACCTCTTCCCGGACAGCCTTGCCCACCTCTACTTCCAGGTCCCAGAGAATCGATAATCCATAGCTTCCTCAGAGGCCAAGATGCATACTGTTAGTGCACAACATAGATTTTTTTTTTTTTTACGATCGTCATCAATTCTAAATGCTGGGTAATGAGACAGTTGATAAGTGAGGAGGTTGGGGCACACTGCTCAAGAAATGTTTTTTTTTTTTTCTTTTTAATTGGAGAAAATGGCTCTTCCTCTCACGTGACTCTTGATTTTTCCCAGACTTGCCTTACGATTCCCATCGCTTTTCTGAAACTTTTGAAAAGCTTGTAACTTTTCAAGGACGGTGAGGCTCCTTTGGACCGTGGGTCACGTTCTTTTTCAAAACTATTAAGAATGCTCTGAGGAGAGAGGGCCAGCTGAGTGGGGGGCACACATCCTTGCTGACCAGAGAGGCCCGGGAAGCCACTAGAAATTAGACCCCAAGCACTTCAGCTTGCCGAGCAGCTGAGCAACCAGCGGGATGGCTCACACAGGAGCCTGGCATCACCCACATCTAGAGCGTCATTCGAGAACCCTAGCTTATTCTAAGAGACCGTTCAGGGACTGTTTTAGGAGCCTTGGGTCGCTCCTCCCCACCCTTGTTCTTTCCTCATGACCTTCTCCAATGTTGAGATTCCTCTCTCTTCTTGAGCAGCGAGAAGACTGTAAGGGCAGTGACTTTGGGCTCCAGTTGACAAAGGGATTTTAGGCAACACTGAAGAAGTTCCTGAGACAACCAGGATAAGGAGGGAAGGGGAGACACTTGTCTGAGCTCTTGGAGTTACACATGGGTGTGGGCATGCACGGGGCCATCTGTTAGCACCACGACAAAATATCAGCATGCTGACTTCTTTTTTTTCTACAAAAATAAACCAAGCTTTGCAAATATGCATACAGTTTACCCTATTTTCAACAAGAGATAAATATACATATACTGTTTGATACCTTTTCCCCCTGAATGTTTTATGAGCTGAGCGTAGTCTCTCCCACACGTTTCCCGCAGGGCAGCTGCTGCAGTGCTTTTAAAGACTGTTGCCATGATAACTGGATGACCGAGGTGAAGAACCAGATTCATAATCATTCCACAGGGCAGGCTTTCAGAGTATGCACCTCAGTTGAGCGCTTGGCATCTGTGTGGGCCTTTTTAACTTCTACACCCTCCCCCGTATCTGTGTGTGTGTGTGTGTGTGTGTGTGTGTGTGTGTGTGTGTAGAGAGAGAGATCACATAAGGACCCAGACTTATTTTCTTCTTCTTCTTTTAAACAATTTATATGCTTAACTTTCAACTTCTTGGAAATTTACATTAGTATATAATGGGTGGTCTTATTACCTCCCACCCCCCAAGTAATTCGGGAATGTTTACAGTGCCCCTTAACTGCATGTTCATTCCTATCCCACCGATTTGAAGTTCTGGTTCTCGGTTGCACGTGAACTAATCAGGTGTATCTTTGTAAGACTGCGTTGTCATGTCAAAGTGCGTTCTTGTGCCAGAGCCACCGCGTTTTGCTTTTTTTGCGGCTTCGTTATGCTTTCGTATCATTTGTGACTCTCTGAACGGCTGATGCCCGCTATGGCCGGGAGTCGATGGGCATCTTTGGGTCGGAAGCCCATCTTGACCTGCCCTTTGCTGCCTCACTGACCTGAAGCAAACAAGCATTGCTTCCTCGGAGCCTCAGGTTCCTCTTCTGTTAGAAGATGCTCACTGCTTGCGCGGAGACAGTGTATGTACAGTGGCTGACGCACAGTCAGGATAGCGACGGTCATGATGTCATGGGAAATTTGGAGGGATTTTGCATGATCGCATCAACTGTCCCTGTGAGGGCCAATTTGGGAAGAATTGACCTGTGTGTGTTTCTATCCAGGAACCAAAGTGCTTTCATTTTTTTCTTTTTTATGTTCTTCATAATTCTTCTGATAGGTATTGCATATTTCTTTGCCCACAGTTTTTTTGGAATTGGGCCCTTTGAAGCGGTAAGTAATTTTTTCACTGCATGTTCTAACTAGAGGTGAAAAATGTGGTTTTGGACAAGTCTCCAAGCCCCAGTTTTTTATTATCCATAAAACTGAAGTGAATGATACCTCCTCTTTTTTTTTTTAATAAGATGGTTTGGGAGTAATGAGACATTGTGTGAGATGGGGTTTCAGAATTTATAGAGTGACATAAAATACAAGCTAAATAGGACCCAGGTTTTGCCCAAAATGAGGCCCGTGCAGCTTGGTTAACTGGCTTTCTGGGGGGAGGGTCCTCTGCAG